TTCCTCTGTCTGGCTTCCTGGCTTTTAATCCCCTTTCTCCTGCTCTTCTGGCCTGCTGCTTTGGGCATCCCTGAGTTGTCTCTCCTCACCTGTATCCCTGGGGCTTACAGATCAACTAGGAGCATGGGAATGCCCAAAGTTGAAGGAGCAGAATTACCGTCCTAGTGGGCCTAGAAGGCAAAGCTAAAAAGCCAAGGGCTGAGGGGCCTCCACCTAGAATCCATAGGGCATGACAATGCCCAGAATCTGGAGGAAAGGACCACTGCCCAGATAATCTCAGAGAAGAGAGGATTGTTTTTAAGCTTGAGAGCTAAGTAATGTGTAGTAATGTGTTCTATTGGTGTTTGGACTTGTTTAGTGCCCCTTATCCCTTTTTTCCAGTTTCTCCCGATTGTAATGGAAATGTCTATTTTGTGCCTGTTCCACCATTGTACTTTGGAAACAGATAACTTGTAGTCCAGATTTCACAGGTTTGCAGATGAAGAGGCATTTTGCCCCAGGAATGAGTAAGCCTAAAGTCTCCCCCATAGTTGATTTAGGTGCTTCAGCAGATAAGATTTTGGACTTGAAGTGATTTAAGATTTTGGGGATGATGTGATGGGGTGAATGTGTTTTGCATGTGACAAGGACATGAATTTGTGGAGGCTAAGGAGTAGAATGTTATGCACTGAATTACGTCCCTAAAAAATATGTGCTGTAAATCCTAACCTCTGTGCAAATGGTAATGATAGAATTTGGGAATAAGTTGTCTTTGTTATGTTAATGAAGGCGGATTAGTATAGGATGTATCTTGAGTCGATGTCTTTGGAGATATAAAAGAGATTAATTAAACAAATGAATAGAGCAAAGAATGGGGAGGAGAGATGCCAAGTCACATGAAGATTGTCCAGGAGCAGAAACTCTGAAGACACAAGGACCTTCCTTGAGAGCTGACAGAAAGAAAGCCTTCCCCAGTGCCCTGAATACAGACATTTAGTCTTCTATACTGTGGGAAAATAAATTTTTTAAAGCCACCCATTTATGGTATTTCTCTTATAGCAGCACTAGATAAATAAGGCAAGACTGTGTCACAAGGTCAAAACTTCCTGATTAAAAAGTGAATTTGCTCTGTAAACTTTGACCCAAATCACAATAAAAGAAAGAAAAACAAAAAACTTCCTAATTAAGTGGGACGGTTCTACTTGATTGTCTTGGTGCTTGATGCATTATTATTTGTTTTCTTTTAATTTTTATTGTGATTAGGGTGAAAGTTTACAGACAGATGCATTTTCCATACAGCAGTTCATATGCATTTTGTCTCATGACATTGAGTGCAGTTCCTCACAGTGTAACAGCTCTTTTCCCACTTCCTCCCTGTAATTACCTTTTCTTTGTGTCCTTCCCTCCCATGCATTCCTGCCCCCAGAACTGTTTCCCTTTGCAAACACTGCCCTTCTGTTTTCCCATGATCAATCGCTCCAAGTAGTGTATCTTCCCAATGTAAATGTTCACCCCATATGCCTGTCTGTTGTTTGGCTGGAAGCCACAGGAGTGAGTGAGTTCAATTTCAGACCTGAAGGGTGGTTAGGGGCCATGGTCTCAGGTGTCTGAGATACATACAAATACTCATGTAGAAACATTATCTCCTAACTCTGTACATGATGATGGGCCTACTGCCTAGACATAGCTGATCATTCACCCTGTCCACCCATCTATCCACCCATATATCAATACTTGCCATCACTGACAACTCAGTACTGTACATGCATTATCTTTGTTGTCTGTACCTCTCATGTACCTCTCTGTTTCTTCCTCTTCCTCAGTGTACCTGTGTTGATCACTCACATTTGGTACATTGTCCTTCCCTTCACTCAAATTAATACTTGTCTACCTATTTAGCAGTATTCTCTCCTTCCCTTCCCACTCCTGATAACCAACAAAGAAAGTTTCCTTCCATATATAAACCTTACCTTGTCTTTTTACAATAATGAGCTAATACAATATTTGTCCTTCTGTGATTAACTTATTTAACTCAGCATAATGTCCTTCACATTCATCCACATTATGTGGTGTTTTGTAGATTCTACATTATTCTTTAGTGTTGCATAATATTCCATTGTGTGTATGTACCGTAGTTTGCTTACCCATTTGTGGTGGTTATGTTTGTGTGTCAACTTGGCTGGGCCTGGTTGAGTGGCTGGGCATCTGGTGGTAGCTATTCTACATGATGAGACTGTCAGTCAACTCCATGGTGGGATCGACCACAAGTAGCTGAGTAGCTGCTTTGGATATGTGGTCTGCTTCCCGTATATAAGAAAAGAAGCACCTTTGGGAATGGTCTCTAGCTTATGGCATGCTTGGACCCTGCATGTAGCTGTGTTGTTGTTCAGCAGCCTGCCATGGTCTACCAACCTGGGGACTTACAATGGACTTGAATGAATGGCCTGCCGTGTGGTTTGGTAACATGTGCCTTTTTACTTGTGATGACAAATAAACCACCTAGGTGCCCATCAACAGAAGAATGGTGTTCTGGTTACTGTGGGCTCGTCAGCCTCAGGAGCCAGCAGCTGTCTGAGTGAAGAAAAGCCTCTAGCTTCAGTGGGCTGGGAGCTGGAGGCAGAGCTGAAGCCCAAGGTTGAGGGGCTTTCACCCAGGCCCTAGAGCCTGGCACTTTGAACTTGGACTTAAAGCCTCCAAACTGTAAGAGAACAAACTCCTGTTTGTTAAGGTCATCCCATTTGTGATATATTCCTGTCAGAGTGGCACTGGGTAACCAGAACACCATTCTTCTGTTGATGGGCACCTAGGTGGTTTCCATCTTTTTACTATTTTAAATAGTTCTGCACTGAACGTGGATGTGCATATATTGATGCATTATTTTATATGCATTTTTGCCATTTGATTAAAGAGTCATTGCACAAATGATGTACTTCGGTTCATGTGCTATTTGGTTCCTCCTCACATTTTCCGAAGTTAACTGTTGAATGGAGAGCCTTTAAAGTACTCTTTATAGTAACTGCTAGTAGTACATTTCTAAAGATACATTTTTTTACTTAAGCCCTTTGTGTTAATCAGATATTCTAATTAATACATTAATCCTCCATCATGAAAGTTTAAATTAGGATTTGTTTTCCTATCCAAAGAATTTTTTTTAAATATTAGAATATCAGTTTTTTTCTTCAATATGAATTAAGCCAAGATATAATTGATAATGATAATAAAAATTGATGGGGGCATAATACTAAGTAAGATGATAAATTGACTTCTGTCCTTTAAAATTTTTAATTACATAATCAATAAATAAAAGGAGCATAAAATCTTGACCAAAGTTACAAACAAAGAAAATGCACCCTCTGGGGTCTATTCATGTGAAATACAACTCCATTGATTTAAGATGTATAGAACCCTAGAAGCAAATTTCATGCCAGTTTAGTTTATAATCCATTAAAACATCAAGTAAATGCAAGCTTTTTGTGTATGTATTTGCTGTAATCACTAAATCACAGCTTCATGCTATAGGAATCACTTTGATTTGCATCATTTATCTTCTTAATTATTTAGAGACTACAGAATATATAAAAATAGTTTGTTTTACTATTTGTTGTAAGCTCTTCAGTGTGACAGTATCATGCTGCTATCTCTTTAGGATGTTACAGAACTGTAGTATTTAAAATAAGCTTGTAGACCTCGGTATGCTTGATTCTTACCTGTGGTTACACCACATACAGAGAACACATGAGGTTATTGATGGTAGCAGGCTGTCATTCTTTCTTCTTCGTCTTCTCTCTCTCTCCTCCTCTTTCTACCTCCTTTTACTGTCCATCCTCCCCTCCCCTAGTGTTTACCTTTCTAGTAATATTTAAGGCTATTATTTAAACCTATAGGTAAAGATTGTAGTAACTTAACCCTGATTTATACTACATGCTCAAAACCGATAATCCTTCTCTCCATCCAGAAGGACAGGGTGGAGGAAGTACAGAAAGAAACAATTACATTGTTAACAGAAATGCTAACAACAATTTATTAAGTCCCTGCTTCCTTCTTTCAGGAGAAAATATCTGAAATAAACAGTTATTACTCAATTTTGAAATGTTTCTTCAAATGGTTATTTTACTGTGATAATTTTTGTTTCAATTTTAGGTGAAGTTAAAATGAACTATTTGGGCAAACCATATGTAGCCATGGTCACAACATACCAAATGGCAGTTCTTCTTGTCTTTAACAACAGTGAGACTGTCAGCTATAAAGAACTTCAAGACAGTACTCAGATGAATGAAAAGGAACTGACAAAAACCATCAAATCTTTACTCGATGTAAAAATGATTAACCATGATTCAGAAAAGGTTTGTGGAAATTTTAAGGAATTTACACATTATAAACATGGAAGCTTTTTGATGGGATATTCATAGTTTTACAAGTAAAGTCATAATTGTTAATGCTTTTTATGCTTTGGAATACACTTGATCAGCTACATCAATCAACTACAAGTTCTCTATAGCTCTGAATTTGATGAATCCTAGAGAATACTATGGAATGTTTTATATATATATATGCCTTTTATAGTTTGATGCTCTTTTTTCTGCCTTAAACTGTAGCATTTTTCAAAAAAAATTACTAAAGTATGGTTAGCAGAAGGATTCTGATTAATTGAAGTTTTGAAACTAGCCTATCATCTTTGAGTTTTTTCCCATGTTTAAAATACTTTCTTTTTATTCCACTTTTGATGCATGGTGACACCTTGTGTATGATGATACCTAAGTGGAACTGTACTGTATGGGGTTTTCAAAGGCTGTTTTTTTTCTGTACGTTACCAGGCCTTTCTTTGGAGGTGCTTCTGGGTGGACTCGAACCTCCATCCTTTCAGTTAACAGCTGAGTGCATTAACTGTTGGGACACACAGGGACTCCTCCATGTGTTTAGTTAATTTTAAATTACATGCATCTGTAATAGTAAATGTCAGTATAAATTGATTTTATGATCAGGTTTAGAAACTTGTCATATCTATCTTCTAAAATATGATTATATTTGTTTGTAGTCATACTTAAAATGTATAATGCCATCCCAAGTACTCTCAAGTCCTTGAATTTCAGAACTCAAACAACTACAATAAATATTTTAATATCCATCACAGGAATTGCAAACCAATACTATATTCTTTATAACTTTTTTTTTTAATAAAGTTTTTGGTTTTTTAGTAACATATCCTGATGTTTCCATGGTCAAGAAAGCAATAGATGTAGGCTGAATATCCTGCTTCCAGTTATTGTGCCTGTAAGAAAAATTCTAGTGAATATGATATAGATGTTTCATTTTTATTTTGGTGAGATTAAGAGCCTACAGCTAACTATTCTCATCATTTTGTTTTGGAGACATCCCTAAGATTATGATGGCATTTTATAGCCTGTAATTGAACAGGGTATATAATAGTGTATATAAATGGTATAAATATATATAAATGATAGATTTTCTATAACTCAAACCATGCCTTTTTTAATTTTGAAAAATTATTACTAATTTTTCTGACTTAAAAATCTTAACACAATAGTAAATTCTATAGTGCCTTAGTGCTTAATAAGTTGTTATTTTTTCTAAAACATGTTATTTTGCTGCCCAGAAATTTACAAATTAAATATAGGTTGCTTATTTGCACATTAAGCATTTGATTATAAATCTGTCAAGTGCTTCTTGATCCTGCTGTGGGGAAATTCCACTATATGATATGAGTGGGTTTCTTAAGCCTGATAAGGAAGTAGTTGTTCTGAAAATTGGGTTAATAACTTAGATTTGAGAAAAGGTCACTTCACCTCACAGAGTGAATAGAATAGACTAAAGGGTAAACCGTATCAAAATTACCCCAAGTTCAAGGTGAAAGGGTACTTCTGTGCCACTTGAAAAACAACTTTTCGTTTATATTTCACTGCATTACTTTAAAACATGGTGGTTCAGTTTTTCAAAATGGAGGATGTTGGAAGAATTATGAGGCTTGGTATTTCTTAAAAGTTGCAATGTTAAATTTTACTTGTTTAATCCACTGAGCTTGTCTCTTGTTTTGTCTCAAAGGTGAAATATATAGTAGTTGAACTAGAAAATAGCTTATTCCTAAATCCAAACTGCTTGAAGTTCTGGCGAATGTAATTAGAAAAAAATTGATTTTGCTTATTTGTTTATTTAACAGTAAACAATTATTTTTCTCTTAAATTAAAACTTTATAATGTGACATTATGAGAGTTTAAATTTTTACTTGGTTATTTAATTTCATTCTATATTGCTGGCAGTAAGCTATTATTTATCTTATTTTTTATAAAGCTATGTTTTTTTTTAAATATAGGAAGACATCGATATAGAATCATCATTTTCATTAAATATGAACTTCAGCAGTAAAAGAACAAAATTTAAAATTACTACATCGATGCAGAAAGATACACCACAGGCAAGTTCTTTTACATGTTCTTTCTTTTGGAAATATTTAAGTGTTACATTTTGCAAGTGGTAATATTAAGATAATGTAAGACATTGCACTCTGAAATTAATAATATCATAACATATCTTTTCTGGTTTATTTGCATTTACTAATTTAATAAGCAAACAAAAATCCACCAGATTTTTTTTAAGAAGTAGTAATAAGTGTGGAAAAAGATATAGATTAGTCACATTTGATCTTAAACTGTATTAAAATGTGTAGCTTTGCTTTGCATTCTCTCTAGAAAGTCTCCTCTTTGGAACAATCTCCCTGTTTTTTTAATTTATTGTTAGTTGCCAGTGAGTCGATTCTGACTCATGAGACCCCACGTTTGCAGAGTTGGGATTTTCAGGGCTGTGACTTTTCAGAAGCAGATTGGTAGGCCTGCCTTCTAGGTGCCTCTGGATGGGTTCAAACCACCAACCTTTGCAACTAGTAATTGTGCACTTAATTGTGCTACCCAGAGACTCTTTTCATGTATAGAGTAAGAGGAATTTTTATAACCTATTTCTTTCAATGAAAAGTAGACATGTAGGAAAATGCTTTTCAAACTTTTATGTGCAAATAAATCACCTGGGCATCTTACTGAAATGCACATTCTGATCTAATAGGTCTGGAGTTGGTGGAGTTGGGCCCAAGACTCTGCATTTTAAACAGACTAGCAGATGAGCCAATTTGAATAATGAATGTATGCTGCTAGTGATTCTTTTAAATCAGCAGTGATTATTCTTTATCCTGAGATAAACTATTCTTATGACTTGAGTTTCCTAATTATTTCCTATGTGCCACCCTGTCCTTAGGCTTGGTTCAGGATATAAAGGTATATAATATGTGAGGCCCTCTCTCAGAAACTTATCCCCCATGCAGGAGACAAACATTAATTAATTGCCATTAAATTTGAGTCATAATAGGCCACGCTCTTATTTTTTTCCATGCTAGTGGATAATAACTTGTAATATATGAATTGTATCTTACCTTTTGTAAGCTATCGTGAGATCCTTATTGATGTGGTATTACTTCTTGTACTCCTTACTTCTTCTGTGTTTCTATGAGCAGTACAGAAATGAGCCTTTGTAGCCCATCCTTCCTGGCTTCTCTACCTGAGCCAGACAGGACGCTTCAAAACATTTCCCTTTGAAGCCTGATTCAGTATAACCTTGTAGCCAATTACTGCACTTGGTACAACCTTATCCAAAAGCATTGAGTCTGTAATAGTTGATAGGACAACGGTCTTTAAAATTATTGTTCTATGTCATTTTATTCCTACTTTATTGTCTGTTTATATTAACGATGCAATTAACTTTTCTGTAATAACCTTCCAACTTTAACCCTAGAAATTATAGATGTAGATGATATTTTGTGATATTGTGTACATTTTAACTGGATAATGTGATGCTACATACGAATTGGAGATGTATTTAAACTCACTGATAAAATGAATTTAAAATAAGTTCAGTGACTTATTGTCTTACTTTCTAATTTTTTTCCTCCTGTAAAACAGGAAATGGAACAAACTAGAAGTGCTGTAGATGAGGACCGAAAAATGTATCTTCAAGCTGCTATAGTTCGTATCATGAAAGCGCGAAAAGTGCTTCGGCATAATGCCCTTATTCAAGAGGTAAAAGGGGAAAAGTGACTTCATGACTTCCTGTGGTAGTGCACATTATCTATGTATGGATTAGATTTGTTCCTTCTTAAATGATGATAAAGAACTAATATCTCCATATAACATGAAGGAATGCTTCATAACTTAATGAGAACAGTACTCACTTAAAAGGATTAAATTCAGCTTTGCTTTGGCTTAGATATAGAGGTCTAAAACTCACCAGTTCATTGAAACTTCTGTCTGGTTATTGAAGAAAATTGACCACATCAAATATTTATTCATTCAGTAAACATATAAGTGTCTGCCATATGATAGGTTATTTTACTGGTCACTGGGGACTATTAATTAATGCAAAGCAAAATGAGACCCTTTTGGAGTTTACAGTGTGGTGGGAAAGAGATACGTTATTGAAATGATAAGAAAAGTATACAGTACTATGAGAACATATGTAGAAGACCTGACTTAGGGTTTGTTAGGGGAAGTTTTCTTGAGAAATTGTGATTTGAGCTAAGAGCTGAAAGTTGTGTGAGGTGAGTGTATTTAGGTAGATTAATTAGTTTATAGCTTTATTTACTTATGTATGAATAATACTAGATTTAGCTATATCTATGTTCTGCATTTTAATTCATTCATAGCATAAAGGTTAAGCTTTTTTCTTAATTTGGGTAGATTATTTTTGAACATCGTGTCAAAATTGATCTCCTTGCTTCCCCTCCCTCTGCACTGCCACACTCAGTTTTAAAAGTTTAATAATGTCCATGTACTCACTTAAGGAGGTGTGATGCATAAGGCAATTGACTGCTAACCAGAAGGTTAGCAGTTCAGATCCACTAGCCACTCCATGGAAGGAAGACGGGGCAATCTACTTTTGTAAAGATTTACCACCTCGGAAACCCAGGGGGGTCACTATGCATCAGAATCAACTTAGTGTCAGTGGGTTTTGTTATTTTTTGGTATAGTACTCACTTATTTGATATGTCCATCCATTTAGTTGATTTTATTGAATTAATATATTTCTATGGTTATTTTAAGTATCTCCTATTACGGATTTGGTTTGTTAAAACTCTTGAAAACTTAATACAATTGAGGTTTCTTTTATAGGTGATTGATAAAAGTAATTGTAAGTGATTTATTAGTGGTAGTTTGACATCGCTTTCTTTCTTTCACAGGTGATTAGCCAATCAAGAGCTAGGTTTAATCCAAGTATCAGCATGATTAAGAAGTGTATTGAAGTTCTGATAGACAAACAGTACATTGAACGCAGCCAGTCGTCAGCAGATGAATACAGTTATGTAGCGTGATGTTGCGCTCCTCTACGTGTGGGTGTAAGAAGATCATTGCCATCGCCATTTGGTGTGTTCCTGTGGGCAAAAGCAGGCCTGTGCGTCCATATTTTGGTCATTTGGCAGCCCCTGTTTTTCTGCTGTTTACAACATCACCAGTGCCACGTCATGAGCGTCGAGGAAAATGCCTATAGATACTTCAAGCTCATGTCATTGTGACATTTCTTAAAACTTTATTAAAAGAAAGAGTGAAGTATTGCTGATACGTGGAAATTTGGTTGGGTACCATGCTTTTTCTCCCCTTCACGTTTGCAGTTGATGTGTTTTTTTTGTTGTTGTTTGTTTGTGTTTTTTTAATGTATCCTAAAGGACAGAAAATAAAAAAAACCTAAATATTGTAATATGACAGATAACCTAATAATTGTATCTACATTAAAATGACAAACATGATATTGCTGCTTGTCAAATAAAAAAAGGAAATAAAGAAATAGAATGCTTTTTTTTATGTGGATGGAATGGCAGGTTGGCTGTGAGATTCTCTGTGTAAAAGTTGGTGAGTCCTCAAAGCAGGTAATGCACTTTTAGTTGCCTTTTTTTTCTAAATGGTTTAAGTCACTTGTACTCTTAAATCCTACATGAAGAATGTCTAGATTATTGTTCTTGAATGTATAAGAAAATACATTCAGCGTAAAGAATGCTTTTCTGGATTAGAACTAAATTACATATGACCATTTAAATATTGACAATTTAATTACATCATGAGTTTCTGGTAACGTGCTGCGTACACAAAGTATGAGGGAAATATGTGGTGACCTTAGATTTGGCACGCTGTTGTTGTTATGTGCCATCGAGTCGGACCCAACTCATAGTGACCTCTCCTTGGGTTTCCAAGGCAGTATCACTATGGAAGTAAATTGCCCATCTTCCTTCCAAGGAGTGACTGGTGGGTTTGAACCGCCAGCCTTCTGGTTAGCAGTCAAGTGCCTTAGGCACTGTGCTACCAGAGCTCCCTCACATTTGGCGTAGATAGAGCTTTTTGTTCAAAAGTCATCTTATTTTTGTTTTTATAATGTATGAATTCTAATATAGCTTAATACCCCAGCTGTGTTGTCTTGACTTTTACCTTTCTTTGAGTCATAGGAGATCCTGTGATAGAATGTATTCCTTTCATACTCCCTCCCATTAAGTACTCTGTCATGCCCTTCTTTAACACTTCAATCATACGTCACAGGTGTGTTTAACAATGCATCGCCTAATATCTTTTTTATAATCTGAATAGTGCATTACACTAGAAGCCACTTGTAGAGACATGAAATACCATTATTATATGTATATTGACAGCAGTATTAGGATACTTTGGTCTTTTATGTTTATTTTATTTCTCTACCTAGCCTCAACATATGCACACTTTAAAAAAAAAGAAAAAAAGTATTTACATTATTCAGTATATCCCAAACAAATTCTTGGGCTTATAATACTTCAGTTTGTATCTCTAACAGATAAGAACTTTAAATAAATAAAAATAACCACAATGACATTATTAACACCTAACAAAAAGCTGACTGTCCACCCACACATATGGTATTTAGCTCATTATCTGACAGTAATTACACACTATGTAATACATAGATTATATTCCTATTTTGCTTATTGTTGCAAAAATGATTTTTACAGTTGGATGTGATTGCACTTTTTCTAACTTGTGTCTTACGTGTTTTAAAAATCTAAGCTTATAATGACTTATACACTGTATTTTAAATTTTATCTTCCTAGAAAAGAAATAATGGCAGACTATATAATACAGTATTGTACATTCACTGTCAAAAATCAACCCTTGTTTTGATAACTTGTTGATAGTTTTCCAAAGTGATTCTTCTTTCCTTAAATATTTATAAATGTTAACCCTTTCAAGACTGAATTATTTTCTGCTTTGAATTTTTTTATTGAAACTATGTGTTTTCAATAATGGAAGGCATTTTGAATGAAATGAAAAAGATTTTTTTTGAGGTAATGTGGATTTTGATACAGTTAGTGGGACCCATATGTCCCATGGGTCTCTGGTGCTGAGGTTGTTAGAATGAAGCCTGTTTCTTCAGATTCATGCAGTTATAGCGGCACCTGCCAGATAGCCCAACCACTGCCATTGAATCAGGCACCACACACTAAAAGGGGGATACAAGCTTCCCATTAAACTCCAAAGGCAGAAAACGTAAGTGGGCAGTATATGCCCCATGGTCTCAAAAGGGTTAAATTAAGCCTTACCCTAATATCTAATTGCCAAGAAAATACATTGGAAAATGGACAAAATACTATGCTGAGGTATACAGAAATGACTGACAAAAGAGTTTTTATTACATCTTTTCTCCATTTCATCAGAAATCAAACATAGGACATACTTGTGAATGAGGAGGTCAAAGAGGCCAGATCCACTTAATGAAAACACCACCCAGAAAAGGAACAATGATTACACTTGATTTTAGCATATACCATCTGAGGAGAATGAAGAGGAGTTACAATCTTGGCAATTGGCTAGGCAGTTGAAATAATGATGGCAGAGTACCAGAGCACCAAATGGATGAGTGAAAAGATTCAAAGCTATACAATAAAGGAAAAGGAGCAGGAAAGGTTTTCTGTGCTGTCTTCAAAAACAAAAATAATGTGAGCAAAAATTGCAAGTTTTTCGAAATGATTAACAACGAGGTAATTAACTATGTTAAGTCAGTGCTGTATTTTATAGCCAGACAGCCTTTGAACGATGTCCTTTCCCATTGAAACCAAATATTTTAATTGATAATGTAGGTGTGGAATTATATTAAGGTTTAGTCCAATATTTTATGATAATGTGTGGTTTAATAGAAACAAAAACCAGACATTTTGGGATTTTTTATTTATATCTGATTATTCTTACACAGTTTTACAACTTGTATGTGCTGCAATGCTGTAAAATTTGTTAATTTTTTAAACCTGTATTGAGTGCACACAGGTGCTTCATTGTGGTGTTTAATCTTCAGATAGTACTGCTAGGTAATAAACAGTGTTCCTCTCTTTCATAGGTGAGGAAACTAAAGGAACTTTTCCAGTAGTCATTGCTATAAATTGCAGAACCTGACTTTAAAGTTAAATCCTAGTTGGGAATGTGGAACTAATATAGTGTAAGTGTAGATAGACTAGCCTGTAAGTTAGATAGCAATAACTTCATTTTATAGATAAAGAACAGTTTCTCTAATTTTGTAGAGTAAGACTTTGTTTCTGGTTGAATAATTTGGGACAAACACCTAATATTTTAGTTTCTTCTAAGATATTTAGAATATTGTAAGTGTACATAATTAAGGGATTTGGCTCACTGCTAGTTCATGGCAAAGGATTTTTGTGAATGTTAACATTTCCTATTCATGTACAACTATCAAACATTTATTTCCCAGTATAACACTTAAAGCAAACCTGTTATTTAAAAATATTTTGAGCTGTATAGTAGTAATGGGTAATTTATTCAGCTCCTTATTTTTGGTTCCTAGGACAAACAGTTGAACAAGCGCCAAGTAAAGATGGGAACTTTTAAAATATTAGTCCTGAGGACTGTCGCACATGGGCTATAGCTAACTAAATAAGTGGAAATTAATATGATAAGATCCACCGGTTGAAGATTCCTGTGTTGATAAAGTGTATCTAAGGCTGAAGCAATTAAATTAGCCAATCCTTATATGAGATGTATAATCTCATAGGCCAGAATTCATTAAAGGTAGGTTTTGCTAATGGGGAGAAATAATGTTCCTTTGCAAAGGCTGAACTGTCTAGGAAATTCTGTGAGATATTTTCTTCTAGGTGTTTCTCATTCACAATTCAGGTAATTCCTCTTCATCTAGCAAACCTTGTGCTAGGGTATCATGCTGGGCACAAGAACTGTATTAATGAACAGAAAAGATGCCGTCTTTGTCCACAGGCTTTTAGTCATAGTAGTCAGTCACGAATATGCCATTACAGATGTAATCAGTGCTTATGAAGGAAAACCTGGGTACTGCAAGAAACACTGCATAAGAGAAGTTAAAAGGACAAAGAGAATGAAGGTGAGAGAAAATATTTTAAACAGAAGTAACAGCAGAGATCTTGAGGTAAGAAGCACTAGACAGAACCTAGGACTTGAAAGACCAGTATGGCTAAATTATGTAGATTTTAAGCAAGGGAGTGATTTGGTTATATTAGCATTAAAAAAAAGTGGTAATTTTTTTTAAGTTGGATGGTGGGTGCATGAATATTTATTTTATGCTTTGCAGTAGACATTTTATGTGTGTGTATGTATGTGGCATAGTGCCTAAGGCATCTGACTGCTAACCAGAAGGCTGGCGTTTCAAACCCACCAGCCACTCCTCGGAAAGAAGATTGGGCAATCTACTTCTGTAGAGATACCGCCTCGGAAACCCAAGGAGTCACCATTATGAGTCCATCAACTCGATGGCAGTGAGTTTGGTTTGGTTTTAGGTATGTATGTATGCATTATTTAGTATAATGTTTATTAACTCTCTTTTTGGTGTTGTGAACAATTATACAAAAATGTAAGTTTTAGTAAGCAGATAATTTGATTTAGTGTGAAGAATGGATTCTTGAGGGCTGATAATGAATACTGTGAAATTAGTTAGGCTTTGGCGGTACTATGTTATTGTTAAGTTGGCCCCTGAGTCAGGTGACTCCATACACAAGATGAAATGCTGCTTGGTGTAATTCATAGGATTTTCAGTGGCTGATTTTTGGAAGTAGATTGCCGGGCCTGTCTTCCTAGTCCATCTTAGTCTGGAAGCTCAGTGCAAACCTGTTCAGCATCATGGCAACATGCAAGCCTTCACTGTCAGGTAGTGGCTGCAAATGAGGTGAATTAGTTGAAGATCACAGCCAAGTGTCCAGGCATGTGGAATATGAGAATTCTACCACTGAACCAACATTGCCTGTGGGCAGTAATATCCTCACTGCCATCAAGTCAGTTCTGACTCACAGTGACCTCCGTTGGGTTTACAAGGCTGTAAATT